AAGGTGTCCCAGGTGGCATCTTAATGGCTAAGCCACACACATGCTGGGCAGTTCCGTTGCTCAACAACCTTCCCCACGGGTGATTCTGAAACCCAGTAAAGTTTCGGAAGGCCAGCTCCGGCCACCTGCTCCCCATCGTGGCGCCCAGGTGGGCTGTATCAGAATCCCCTGGGGAACCCCAGCACGCTCTCTCCGAGATTTCCATTCGGTGCATCTGGGAGGGGCCCAGGTTGGATTGACGTATCAAATATAGGACACCCAATTACATTTGAATTTCAGATCAACAGTGAATAATTTTTTGGTTGAAGTGTGTCCCAAATATTAAATTCAATCTCCATTGGACTGGGCATTCCGTATTTGGCTTTGCCATGTCGGACAAGCCCCTTGTGACAAACTTCTCGGTGGATTCAGCCAGGCCGGACCTAAGTCCTCCTCTGACCCCCAGTGTGCTCTCCCACTCGCCCCCTCCCAGGCTTCGTGTTTCGGTCGACATCGCCCAAGATAATACGCACTCCTGGCAGTCACACCATGATCTTGACTCCAATGGAGTCTGTGATCGCCGAAAATCCCTAAATCCATCCTAAAAATACTGCTGCTCCACCACGTCTACCCAACTCCCAGTTTAGAAAATTGGTTCAGGACTTGCACTGTCCTGTTTCCCCTTCCGATTCCTCCCGTCTTTCCCATGCGTTGAGTCCCTCTGGATTCCGACCCCGAATTTACAACCCCAGGTGGTATCCCCAGCGAATCTGCTCATCAGGCTAGGAGAGCTTCCCCAGTCAGCCGTGAACAGACGGGACGAGACTTGGGAGAGGACAGAGCCCCTGTGGCTCTCCGCTAACCACCTGTGTCTAATTTGACATTGATACATTAGTCAGCTCCTTATGAGGATGGGTCGATCAATCAACCAATTACAACAGCACAGGATATTAGCACCCGCCCACACGAGGTCGCCTTCTCCTTTTTTTTTTTTTTTTAAGATTTCTTTATTTATTTGAAAGGCAGAGTTACAGAAAGGCAGAGGCAGAGAGAGAGAGAGAGGTCTTCCATTCGCTGGTTCACTCCCAGATAGCCACAACGGCCGAAGCTGCACCGATCTGAAGCCAAGAGCCGGGAGCTTCTTCCGGGTGTCCCACATGGGTGCAGGGGCCCAAGGACTTGAGCCATCTTTTATTGCTTTCCTAGGCCATAGCAGAGAACTGGATTGGAAGTGGAGCAGCCAGTGGAGTGAACCGGTGTCGGCCCTACAGGTGGCAGCTTTAACCCAGTATGCTACAGCCCTGGCCCCGCCTTCTCCTTCTGAACTCTCACTGTGGTCTCCTAAAACCAGGGGGCTGCTGCTTATGATGTTGGCACCTCGTGTTGGAGCACCAGTTCAAGTCCTGGCTGCTGCACTTCTGATCCAGCTCCCTGCTAATGCACCTGAGAAAGCAGCAGTAGATGACCAAGTGTTTGGGCCCCTGGCATCCCATGTGGGAGACCAGGATGGAGTTCCTGGCTCCCGGCTTCAACCTGGCCCAGCCCCGGTCCTTGCACTGCAGCCATTTGGGGAGAGAATTCTCTCTCTCTCTCTCTCTCTCTCTCTCTCTCCCTCTCCCTCCTGTCAATGACTGCCTAGTTTCCTGCCTGGCGCCTCTGCAGCACACCAGGTGAAACTGATAGAATCCACTCTGTCCTGGCCGCATCCAGTCTGCCTCTGCCAGCTCCCGTCTTCACCCCCCTCTCCTCTCCATCTCAACCAGCTCTGCAAAGAGAGCCCTCGGCAGCCAAGCAGCATCGCCCAGCACCCTCTGAGGCCAGAGAGAGACTTGCTTGGGGTTTGGAGATCTGCGTGCTCTCAAAATTGCTCTGCAGCTTTCACTCCTGCTCCCCAGGAGCCTGGGTCAAGTTCTAGGCTGCACGCGAGGGCGGGCGTGCAGAGCAGCGTTGCTCAGCTCCTGGCTCCAAGGGCTCTCCTTTCTCCCACACTTCCCCTTCCCCAGAGCAGCCCCTGCGTTGCCTGTGCTGGGGCTCAGAGGAGCCAGAGTGAAGGCATGGCCCCGTCCCGCCAAGAGCTCCCCCCTCTAGAATAGAGGCAGCGACCAGCACCTGACTTTTCTACCAAAGAGGCAGGGCTAGGGCTGCGAGAGCGCAGGGAAGGGCTGGCTCGTCCTTCCTGCAGGAGGTGATTTCCGAGCTGGGCCCCGAAGGGGGAGCTGGAGTCTCTTTGATGGAGAAGCAGGGAAAGAGGGATTCCAGCCAGAGAAGGTGCGTGAACAAAGGCGCAAGGGCAGGAGGCGACAGCGCTTGTCTGGGGACTGCTGGCCCAAGCTGTGGGGCTGGAGGTGGGCGGAGGAAGGGGCGGACCCTGGGGGGTAAAGTTGTGAGAGAGCAGCAGGGGTCTTGCAGGCCACCTGGCCCTTTACCCGACCTCCTCTGCCATTGTCTTTGACATTAGGCAGATGCCTGCTAGGCACTTGGCTGGCACCAGGAGCTGAAAGCTGACCGGTCCTCAGCCCATGGGGAGCCAGACTGTGAAACACAATGACGACGGCAAGGGGCAAGAACTGTGAGAGGCTGACACCAGCCAGAATGGGGAGGGGAGGCCCACGGGCAGTAACTCTGAGGGCAGCAGGAGTCAGGTGGGACCCCAGGGAGAGGCTGTGACCCAGGGCACGACACAGTCTGATGTGCTTCTGGATGGACGTGCCAAGCTGCCGACGGGGCAGAGGACGGAGCCGGGGCCTGGACTGAGGCCGCGACATGGGAGGGGTTGAGCTGAGAAGAGGGGAGAAGGGGCAAAAGAGCTCGGTGAGGGCTGGGCCACAGGAAGCCAAGAGCTACACATGTCCCTGTCTCAAGGGACCAACGGATGGAGGGGGCCCCCGTGAACCATGCTCTGTGGCCAGGACCTGGGCCTCTGCTTTGGGCCTAGTGAGCGGTGGTATCTGTGGACCATCCCAAGAAAAGCAAGCGGCAGCAGGGTGCAGGACCGGCGAGAGACAGAGACAGAAAGGACCCTGAGCCCAAGGACCCCCTGTACTGAGGAGTTGGGGCGGTGGTGCTCCTGGGCGCAGGTGGCCGTTTGAGGTTCAGAGAGGGGCGGTAGCATCCTCAGGGTCCCACAGCGAGTGGAGGGACCCCGGGGAAAGGACGGAGGAGAGGAGCTCGTGCCCCCATCACTCCCGTCTCCTCCTGCCGCCCTGTCCCCTGAAGAGCCTCGGGTGCTCTCACAGTCCTCCCCCGACTTCCAGTGCCCGTGGCCCTGAACCCTGCCCACTCTGAGGCCAGTGAGGGCGCAGGCAAGGCCCCATCCGGGAGGTCTGAGCACGCCTGGTCCTTGCCTCTCTTCCCCCCTCCCTCCACCCCACTCCTGGGGAAGGAGGCCTTCCTGTTGCTTAGCAACCAGAACCTTGGAGAAAGGGGATGAGAATAGCTCAGGAGGCACCTCCCCTCTGTGAAGACAGAGGTCCTTGGAGTCTGTGTGTCTGTCTGTCTGTCTGCTCTACATCAGGGCTGCACACCTCCAAGCCATGCTGACTCCCACCCCACCCACCTGAGCCCACGGGAGGACACGGCGGCCAGGAAAGCCAATGTCCGTCACCTTTGGTCACATCGACAGGGGCAGTGTCTCCAGAACAGAGGACAGTCCTGTGGCCTTGGGAATGCTGACTTTGGAGACATCAGCCAGCAGCTGGTGAAAACTGTGTCTGTGTGGCAGCCCGGGTGCCGCCTGGGAACCTGCATCCCACGTTGGAGGGCCTGGGTTTGAGTTCCAGCTCCACTTCCGGTCTAGCTGCCTGCTAATGTGCACCCTGGGAGGCCTCCGGTAATGGCTCAGGTACTCAGGTCGCTACCACCTCCGTGGGAGACTGGATTGAGTTCTGGCCCCTTGACTTTGGCCTGGCCCAGCCCTGGCTGGTGCAGGCATTTGTGGGGTTAACCAGGGAATGAGTGATCTTTGTCTCTCTGCATTTCAGATACCTAAAGCTCTTCGAAAGATTTGTTTATTTGGAAGGCAGAGTTACAGAAAGGAAGAGAGAGAGAAAGAGAGAGAGAGAGAGTCTTCCATCCACTGGTTCACTCCCCAGATGGCCACAATAGCCAGAGCTGCACGGCTTGGAAGCCAGGAGCTTCTTCCTGGTCTCCCACGTGGGCGCCGGGGCCCAAGCACTTGGGCCATCTTCTGCTGCTTTCCCAGACACATTGGCAGGGAGCTGGATCAGAAGTGGAACCGCCAGACTCGAACCGGCGCCCATATGGAATACTGGTGCTGCAGGAAGTGGCTTGACCCCCTGCGCCACAACGCTGTCTCCAGTGAATGAATTTTCTTTTTTTTCTTTTTTTTTTTTTTTTTTTTTTTTTTGACAGGCAGAGTGACAGTGAGAGAGAGAGACAGAGAGAGAAAGGTCTTCCTTTTGCCGTTGGTTCACCCTCCAATGGCCGCCGCTGCAGCCGGCGCACCGCGCTGATCCTGGCAGGAGCCAGAAGCCAGGTGCTTTTCCTGGTCTCCCATGGGGTGCAGGGCCCAAGCACCTGGGCCATCCTCCACTGCACTCCCTGGCCATAGCAGAGAGCTGGCCTGGAAGAGGGGCAACCGGGACAGAATCCGGCGCCCCGACCGGGACTAGAACCCGGTGTGCCGGCGCCGCAAGGTGGAGGATTAGCCTATTGAGCCACGGCGCCGGCTATCCAGTGAATGAATTTTAAAAAGAATAACAGATTTCGGGAGATGCAGGGATCAGGCATATGAGGCGTTCCTACAGGGGCTGCAGACAGAGAGGTTTCTCCTAACTAGGACCCTGGAGATGACACGGTTCCAAGATGGGGAAAATGACACGGTTACAGACGGGGAGGGTCCGGCGTCCGACCCTGCCCAGGTCCGGAGGTGTGACCCAGAGGTGCAAACCTGCCATCTGCCCCCCTCTGCGGGCTGAGGGGAAGCGGATTAGAGCCACGCGCGGGCTTTTAAATCCCCGGGATTAACCTGCGCAGAGATGGGCTTAGCAGGTGGCCCAGAAGTGACCACTCTCTTGGTGTCTGTGTCCGCAGGGCGGGCGGCCGAGGCCAGCGGTCCGGGGTCAGGCGCCATGTCCTCCACCGTGAACAATGGCGCAGCCGGCATGCCGTCCCCGCCCGACGCCGCCAACGGCTTCCCGCAGCCCGGCGCCTCCTCCGGGGCCTGGCCCCGAGCCGACGAGGAGCTGCGGGCCGCGGAGCCGGGCCTGGTGAAGCGCGCGCACCGCGAGATCCTGGACCACGAGCGCAAGCGGCGCGTGGAGCTCAAGTGCATGGAGCTGCAAGAGATGATGGAGGAGCAGGGGTGAGCGGGGCGGGGCGGGGCGGGGCGGGGCGGGGTCTGGCTCGCGGGGGCGGGGGAGCCGGAGGGCCTTCCAGGCCAGCGGCTGGAATCCGGGCCAGTGGAGGGGGGACCCTGGCGAGTCCAGCCCACTTTCATTCGTGGATTTATTCAACCGAGAAGCCGACCTTGAAGGCCAGCTCTGTCATGCTCTGGGTTGGGCCTTGACTCACTCCTCGCTCTCTGGAAACATCCCTTCCAGGGCCAGGCAAGGCCTCAGTATCCCATTCTGTGAAATGGGTCTGAGCCGGTGCTCCAGCCAGGTAGGAAAGCACAACAGGCCCTCACTGTGTGTGAGGGGAACCTGTGGTCTCTTCCTGGACAGGGCCAGGCACCGTGTTTGCAGGACAAGGCAGGGCCCAGAGCTGAACTGGAGTTCACTTTCTGTCATCAAAGACCACCCCGCACCCACTCGCCAGCTCAGAACAGAAAGCGACATGTAGGCAGCCAGCTCCTGCCACCGCACGGCAGAACCGTAGCTGCAGGACAGGGCAGGAGCGGGCCCAGGGGCTTCAGGAGCTCGGGGAGAGGCTGGGAAGGGGAGGGAGGGGCTGCCAGGAGAGGAGGCATTTGAGTGGGCTCTGAAGCATGAATAGGAGTTTGTGGGATTGAGAAGGAGGAAGTGTGTGTGTGATGCCCGGCCCCCATCAGGCAGTGGGGTTTAGGACCCCTTACCAAAGCCTAACAGGGGCAAGACACCCCTTACTCCTGGAGGCAGAGAAGCGAGTAAGGCTGTCCCCGTGTGGGCGGCTCCCAGGAACCCCAAAAGAGTGGGGCACAGGGCCTGTTGCCCGACTTACACTGTCCAGGCGCTGGGGAATCAGAAGCCCTCGTGCCTGGGGCCACCTGGGGGCCGGGCCAGCCGTGTACAGCTGTCCTCCCAAGCCGCACCTGTGTCTGCCCCCCACCAGGCCTCGTGGGCTCCCCAGGAGACAGCCAAGACGGGGGCCACCGTCTCTGTGGGGCTTGGGGAGACACCGAGGTTCACTTGCTAAAGGCCACCAGGAAGGCAAGGCCGAGGCTGAGCCTGAGCCCAGCGTCCTGGTGAGCTGCTCCAGAGACCTGGTGGTCACCTGCAGCTGTGGGCCAGGTAGCGGGCGGAGGCGGGGAGGCTCCCTGCAGAGAGGGATGGACGCTGAGGTTGGAGAGGAGAGCAGCGGGTTTGGTGCACTGTGGGTGTGGGAAGAGGAAGTGAGTGCCCACGGGCCTGCAAACCCCGCTGAGTTGGGAGACTCAGGAGTATGGCAGGTGCCGTGAACAGGGAGCAAGTGAGGCAAGACAGACAGGACTCCTCCCCCTCACCACACTCCCCCCTCCCCCCTTCCCACCCTGAACACCCTCCCCCTGGAAAAACCCCACCCTCTCACCACACGCTAATGGCCCTTCTGCCCCCCTGGCAGAGGGCTAAGGCCTTTGGCCATGTCCTGATGTGGGGCCCCAGCCTCTAGGGCCTCTGCCTCTCTGTAAAAACACCCACAAGGTGTCCAGAATGTCAGCCAAGGCCCCCTCCACCCCCAGGTCCTCACGGAGGGGGTCCTTTAGCCTGGAATCTGCCCCTCCCACCAAAGCGCTGCCCTCCCCTCCCTTCACAGCAGTCGGCTGAGGGGGCCCCTGCTGCACTGAGACCCCGCCCCCCAGTTTCCTCACCTGTGAACCAGGGACACCTGCCTCCTGGGGTTGTCCCGAGGGTCCCTGCCCAGTGCCCCCTCCCCACCTGTCCCCACAAAGGGCTCCAAAGCACCGGGCACCCTTGCTGCTTTATCCGCTCTGGTCATTCATAACCCACTTCCAGAAGCACTGGCTTGCTGGCATTTATTTCCTGGGTTCTCAGGCATTTGACAAATATCCCCGCCAGTCACAGGAGCACCCTCTCTCTGGCCCCATTAAAAAGCAATCCTTTCCCTTAATAGTGACGGATGGCAGCCGACTCAATGGGGACTGACGCCGCACGTGCAGCCTGCAATCATGAGAGAGGGCACGGACACGGCCCCCACCTTCATGCTGGGTGTGCCCACCCCAGTCCCCAACTCTGCACCCGTCTTCTTAGGAGTGACGGAGCACGGCTCTGTCCCCGGGTAGAGTGGGGCTCTGAGCCCTCCCCGCTCCTGGTCCAGTCTGCCCCTCAATGAAATGGGGACAACAAAGGGCACCTCCCCCCAGCTTGGGGCTGCAGTGAACAGAGCCCTGGGTTCGGGCAAGGAGAAGCAAAAGTCAGCATTTTCTACTCCAGGGACCCCCAGAACTGCCCCCAGGGAGGTCCCCAAAACCACAGTAGGACGGGGACCGAGGGAGCCAGACAGGCTAGGGAGCATTGAGGAGCTAGGGGCAGGGACACAGACGCTGCTGCCCCACTTCCCGCCCCCCGCAGCTCTCGCCTTTGAGTCTGAGGTGTTGGCTCTGCCATCTCCCAAGGGAGCAGCCTCCCGCTCCGTCTCAGCCTTCACCTCCCGGGAAAGCAGGGAGAAGCAGCGCAGGTGGTTCCCAGAGCCCCAGCACCAGGCCTGTCTGGTGAGCGGTGGAAGGAGGTAGGGGCCCTGGGGTGACTGAACCCTCCGTCCCCACTGCTGGAGGTGAGCACACTCCAATCACTGCTGTGCGCCCAGCACCTGCTGCGTGCCAGGTTCAGGGTGCACTGCTTTGCTCCACCTCATCCTAGGGACAGCCTTGAAAGGTTTCACAGATGTGGATGCTAAGGCGAGAAGTGTGTGATCTGCCAAGGTCACGGAGCCAGGAAGGAGGGAGCGTCTGGCTGTATTGCCTGGCCGCTTTGTCGCTGCCCCCGCAGAGCCTCAGCCGGGAGGGCTGGCCCTGAGGGGTCTCAGGTGGTGGCCACACCTGAGACCTCTTGGCTCAATAATCATGTCATCCCTGGGTCCCCTGAGGCAGAGATGCCCTCCACACTCCTCTGAGCTGGTCATGGAACCTCACCCCATGCCGAGTCTGGGCTGCCTCAGGTCTTGCTGGGATCCCACATTCCACTGACCACCCCCCAGGCTTGGGGACGTGGACCCTGGCCTGAACCCCACTCTGTGTTGTTGGTGCACTGGCCTGGGCTTGTCCTTAGCCGTCTCCTCCCCAGCCCTGCCAGGCCCAAGGCCTCACGCCATGGGCCACCAGCCTCTGTCTTCCTCCCGGGGCTCTGAATCGGGGGCTGAGCAGGGTTTGAGGGCCTGTGCTGTGTTGGTCCTTGTGTGGGTGACAATGACAAGCCAGTATGCTGAGGAGCAGGTGTTTGGGAGCCATTGTTCTCTGCCTCTGCTGTTCAGAGAGGGGCCACTGGCCCTTCTTTTTGGGGCTCCGGCTGAGGGGGGCCTGTACTCCCCAGAGAGCAAACCAGGTCAAGGGACCTCCGAGCAAATGCTGAGGGTCTGAGGTGACACAGAGGAGCAGGGTTCAGAGCTTGGAGAAGCTGGTGTGGAGTCCCCAGCAACGGGTGGCCCGAGCTACATGGAAGTAGGAGGTTGGAAGAATAGTGCCCCAACCAACCAAGCCAGGACCCAGCCCTCCTCATGTAGCTACACAGGAGCCAGAATCCACAGTCAGGCTCCAGCTGGGGGTCCAGGGAAGCCAGCTCAGAGGCAGGGGTGCCCCTTACCCAACCCCCAACAGATTCAACTGGACCCCAAGCCCCAGCCCTGCCCTTCGGGGGAAGATGTTAGGCCCAAAGCCGGGCTCCTGGCCTGCAGGCCTCGCTCCTCCTACTTGCAGCCACCAGAGCTGTCTTTCCAAGATAAGAATCCAACCTCCAGTGCCACTCCATCACCAAACACTCATTTGCCAAAAATTTTTGGATGCCCCCAATGTGGCAGGCTCGATGCCAGGCACTGAGGATGCTACAACAAACCAGACAGATAAGGCCCCTGCCCTCCGGCAAGGACCTCCAGGCCAGCACAGGGTACAGACGAGTCAGCAGAGCATAACCACCTGCCGGGAACTGGGAGGCATCGGTCGCCATGGAAACGCACGCGCTGGCACTGCACCAAGGCCAGCCGGGAGGCATCCGTCCTGCCGTAAACATCCAATGAGTCAAGTCTCGGTGCTTAGCCATGATCCTCTCCACAGGGTACACCTGCAAGCTCACTCGTGAGTCAAAGGATGTGTTCGTCTTGCCAAGGCTTTGCAGCAGGACTGCCAAGCTACTCCCCTGTGCTTGTTTGCTGAAAGAGTGCAGGGAAGAAAGGCAGAGAGAGGTGGAGGGGGAAGAGGGAGGGGACAGTGTCCCATTTTCATGGACAGGCTGAGTGGGGAGGGCTGGGCCTGCTGTGGGGACAGGTAGTCGATAATGAACAGACGACAGGGACAACACAGGACCCCATTCCTTTTCTGCCCCCAGAAATGGACGGTCCACTGTCCAGGACAGTGACCTGCAGACCCGGGAGGGCAGCGGGACTCCAAGAATCATTCAGTAACAGCCACTAGCCACCTTACTATGTGGCAGGCACAGGATGAGGGGCTGTGTGAGGGGGCAGCGTGGACACAGCGTGGACACCGCAGGGTCTGGGAGGCCAGGGCAGCGGCTGTCACGGTGATACAATGCCTCGGAGAGGGTAGTGACTGATGCCAGGGTATGGGATGAGGAATGAGGAAGAGATATTCTGGATTTTGGTCCCTAGCCAGAGAGTGGGCTCAGGGAGGCAGGGAGAACCAGCAGCAGAGAGACTCGTTGGATCTAGCACCAGAACCCCAATCAGCTGCTGGGCAGTCTTGATCCCACTGGGGTGGGGGTGCTTTGAGGACCTCCCAAGGCTGGATCAAAGACGAGACAGCAGAAAAAGGCTGTGTCTGCCTTGAAGTCAGGCTTCTCACTTCTCCCCGCCATCTCTAGAGAGAGGCTGCACCCAGACGTGGGAGGGAACAGGGCTCAGCCTCTCCAGAGTCGTCTCTCGCCACCTCCTTTGCTTTATTTATTTGGTTGGTTGCTGGTTTAGTCGTGTGCTTGTGCAAAGTGAGCAGTTCTGGAGCAGCCTCAGTGCCCGGGGCCTGCCTTGGTCCTGTGACCTCAGACAAGTTATCACAAGCTGGAGTGTGGGCTTCTGACGTGGAGGTGGGGGCCCGGGCTTGGGCGGGGAGGGCCCTCAGGAGGGGACCAGAGCCTGGAGAGCAGTGCTCATGGAGTGTGCCCCCCGCAGGTACTCAGAAGAGGAGATCCGGCAGAAGGTTGGGACCTTTCGGCAGATGCTGATGGAGAAGGAGGGAGTGCTCACCAGGGACGACCGGCCTGGGGCCCACCTGTGAGTGCAGGCTTATGGGGGCGGGTCATGGGTGGGGCCGGGGGTGGGGCTGGGATGGGGCAGGCACCAGGGCCCCTGGCAGTGCAGGAGGCAGTCTGGGCACTTCCTCAGGTGGTTGGGACTGCAGATGGCAAGAAGAAGAGAGGACTCCGGGCCTGGCCCAGGATGCGAGGCAGGGGTTCCAAGGACCATCGAGGGCCTTGCTGTGCCTGCCCCCTGGGGCTTTGTCTGTGGCTCAGCTGAGGAAGGTTGGAAGGGGCAGCCTAGATCACAGCGTGCAAGTCGTGAAACCTCAGAAACGTTCCGACCCCAGAACTACCCCTGACTGACAGCGCGACCCTCTTGACCTAATTCCTCTGCACCCTGGCTATTGCCACCTGTAAAATGGGCTCAGCAAAGTTGGAGACCCCCCTCACCAGTGCCCTTGCTTCAAGGCCAAATGCGCCAGGTAGAGGGTACGGGCTCCAAGGCGGTCGTGTGTCCGTAGCCTACCACACTGTCACAGGGGCAGGCTTTGGATCAAACGGGGAAGTTATGGGAAGGTGGCTTTTGTCTCAAAGTAGAGGAGCAACATGGCTGGTCTTCTCCCCATGTATGGCACCATCTGGGGAGCAGGCCCCGAACACAAACCCACAGCAGCATGGCACTATGGGCGCTTTTCCTGCTGCAGCCACCTTAGGACAAGAGGCGCTGTCGGAACAGGCGACCCTCGGTGGGAAGCGGGGAAGCCCCCTCTGCAGAGGGTACAGGTGGAGGGTTCCCCACCTTGCCCCTGCTTAGCTCCCATCTCTGGCCAGCGCAGGAGGAAAAGCAGAGTCCGAGGCAGCTTCGGGGTTGTCAGCAAGCTCACGGGAGACCCGGGAAGCCGGGCTCAGCCTGCCTGGCCTCCTCCTCTCCAGACCCAGTGTAGGAGTCCCGGGTTGGCAGCCCAGACTCGTGGCAGCCCTCAGCGGCTCCTGCTGTCCTCCTGCACTGAGGCCCTGGCCAGTCCGCCGTCAGGGCAGGGCAGGCCTCCTCCTCTCCCTGCTCAACCCTCCCGACAACCAGATTCTTCCCGCTGCTGCCTACAAACCACAGGGGCCCTGGCTTTCTGACCCTGCACGCCCTTGAACACCCCCCAGAGTTTCTCTGGGACATCTCCCACCCTTTCCTCCCCCATCCTGTGTGGCTGCAGGCCTGAAGCCTCCCGGGGATTCTCCAGTGATCACCACCCCTGCAGCCCCAGCCTGCTCTCCCTTCTCCCAGGCTTCCTCCCAATTCCTGTCCCTCCCTCAACCCTGCTCTCTCCTCTAGCAGCCACCCCACAGATTCCTTTTATTTCTCAAGCAAATTCCTGTTAAGAGTGTGCAACAGGCTGGCGCTGCAGCTCACTAGGCTAATCCTCCACCTGCGGCACCAGCACCCCGGCTTCTAGTCCCGGTTGGGGCACCAGATTCTGTCCCGGTTGCACCTCTTCCAGTCCAGCTCTCTGCTGTGGCCGGGGTAGGCAGTGGAGGATGGCCCAAGTGCTTGGGCCCTGCACCCCATGGGAGACCAGGAGGAAGCACCTGACTCCTGGTTCCAGATCGGCTTAGCTCCGGCCATAGCGGCCATTTGGGGGGTGAACCAATGGAAGGAAGACCTCTCTCTCTCTCTCTCTCTCTAACTCTGCCTGTCCAAAAAAAAAAAAAAAAAAAAAAAAAGAGTGTGCAGCACCCATTGTCTCTACTTACCTAAGCCACAGAGATCTGGCTGCCACTCACCACACACACTCCTGTGACCTGCTCAGGACATGGCCACCAAGTCCCGCTTCCCAGGGCCCATGGTGGCTTCTCTGCAGACCACGGCCTCTCTCTGGTGCGTGTTCACAGAGTGTCTGTGCTGTCTGCCTAACTCGGTGCTGGAGCTGTCAGAGGGGAGGAGAAGGGGGAGGCAGCACAGCCCCTCGAGTGTTGTAGCCTCAGGCCCTGCACTTGTTCAGTGGGGGGAGAGATGGGGACACACGAGGGTGTCCAGAAGAGGCAGCACCTGGAAGACTCCGTGGTCAGGGGAACTTGGTCAGGTGTTCTGGATGCAGGGATAGGGTGGACTTAGCAGACCCAGGGATCGAGGTAGAAAGGACGTCACTTCTAGAGTGACAGCATCTGTTTTGTTTTTGTTTTTCACTGCTATTATCCCTGTTTGCTAGTGAGGGGGTGGAGCCAGAGCTTCTTCTAGCCCGGGCAGCCTGAAATGGTGTGAAAATAGCGCTCCCAATAGGACTGCAGCAAACCAAAGGGATGGAGGATCCCGCGGAGCTCCCAGAGGCCGTGGAGCTGTCCTTGGTGCTGAACCTAAAACTGCCGTGGCCTGAGGCTTCCCGGGGCGGGGCAGGGATTAGGGAGGTCTGGGGATAGTGGGTCATCTAACTTCCTGAGGACCTGGTACCTGACCAGGTCTTCATGTCCTAGCTGTGGGGTAGTGGATGGAGCGTGTGGCCTCTGCAGTCAGACACTCCTCCTGTCCAAACCTCTGAATTCAAGGTTAACCCCTTGGACTGGGGCTCCAAACCCAATCCAGCCCAGCTGGAGTCTTTATGTAGAAAATGAGGGTGCTAGTACATACCTCATGAGGGTTTCAGGAGATTAAGTGCAACAGTGAGTGTAAGTGTGAGGAGCAGTACCCAGCAATGAACCATAGCCAGTGCACACCTCCCGGGTGATCCCACCACCGCTCCCTGGTCCCCCAGCAATGGCGACTGCCCCACTGACCCTGACGTGTTCCCTCTGCCTGGCCATCTCCTTCCCCTATACCAGTCTCTGGGGGCTTCTCACGAGAAAGTGAGGCCCTCTGACCACCTCACAGCTTTGCCTCCTGATCACCATCTTCCCCCGGTCACGAACTGGACTTGGAGATTTGGAGAAACCCAGTGTCCTCTCAAAGTGAAATGGCAAAGTCAGGTCCAGGTGGAAGGGTCTCCAGGCTGGGGGTTTCTGATGGCCTGAAAGAGCCCCTCCCCCCCCCCACCGCCATGTCCACAACAGGAGTGGGCTCACTGCCAGCGCCTTTTGTCCCCCCCACCGCCATGTCCACAACGGAGATCTGGCCCAGAGATCTGGCCATCTCCCTTTCCTTGAGGTTGGTTTACTGGCCTGAGTGACAGTCTCCTGTGACAGTCCCCCTGCAGCCCAGCCTCCACACTGGACACCAGAGTGTCATCCTGCCAGAGCATAGACAGGACCCCACGTGTGGGTCGGAGGAAGCAGAATGTGATCAGGTATTTGGGGACTGTCCCCTTTGGAAGAGGGATCGATGGGTGAAGCGGCAGGGAGCCCAGTGGTGTGCCCATGGTTCCAGGGATGTTGAGTTTGGACAACCTTTTGTCTTCGGGAACTGACTGGAAGCAAGAGCCCTGTTTAGCCACAGAAACTGGCTGTGGTTCCCCAGCACCCAAGTGCGGCCTCCTTTGCCTGGCAGCCAGGGCCCCCCACACGCTGGACCCAGCCTGGCCTCCCACTCGGCCTCACCTGCAGGCACCTGCCAGCCACGTCCCCCATGTCCCCACTCCCGGCCTTTGTTTGTGCTGACCCTGAAACACTCTGACCCAATTCTACACAGGGTCAAGTCCACCCACCAGTCGAGGCTGCCTCCAAAAGCCCCATTGCTGATATCTCTGGGATAAAAGTAAGCTCTTCTTTTGGGGGCCACACACACAACTCTCTTCTTCTCGGGGCCACCACCAATTCTGTCTCTTTCCAGGCCAATGAGCAACCTTTAAAAATGATTGTTTTCATAGTTACATAACAAAACGTTTGGGAGAGAGGCTTCTGGACACCCTGCATGAGCTGCGTCCTAACACAAACACAGTTGGCAAATCCCAGTCAGCCCTGTAAGAGCCAGAGAGAAGGCTCCAGGCCTGACCTGTCCCTGTGTCTCCCACCACTGCCGACAGGCCTGGCATGCTGGCCCAGTGAACAAGCAGTGAGGGCTGACCCTTTGCCTGCATCCCCTCCTCTATCTGGACTTCACTCATCCGTCCGCTGGTTGTGATGCTCCCAGCTAATGGGAAACAGAACCCATTAATTAACAAAAGTGCTGGCGTGAGGAAGCGCCTGCAGCAGGCAGTCCTCACCCAGGTCAGAGCGCTGGCCATGGTGGCTGGTTCATCACGTGTGCTCTGCCGGGTTCTGGGTTCCACGGTGACACGGCTGTCCTTTGTCCCTCTGCAGCAGGCCCTGTCTGCACCTACTTCAGTCAGCCCTGGGGGCTTGGACCTCCCTGCCTACTCTACCACATATAGCACAAAACACGAAACAGTCCAGCGCTCAGTGCACAACACCCAGAACTGGATGTGTAAAGTAGGGAGGGGACCACCAAGCTATGTAGCAGAGCGGTCAGCCAGCAAGTTCAAGGGCTATCCTGTTCTCAAAGCCAGTTTCATAGCTGAACTTCTTTGCTTTACTCAAAGAGCCCAACAGCCTTGGGGCTACTCCTTTCCCACTCTGAGCCTCAGTGTTCTCATCTGTAAAATGGAAGAGGAGCAATCTCTCTAAATCAAGAAGCAGCTGAAAATGAGATTGTGGACTGCAGGGAGATCTTTAAAAAAAAAGTCATTTGAAAAGCAGAGTTACAAAGAGAGAGAGGGAGATCTTTTGTCTGCTGGTTCACTCCCCAAATGGCTGCAACGGCCAGGTCTGCACCAGGTTAGAAATCAGGAACTCCAGCCAGCTTTCCCATGTGAGTAGCAGGGACCCAAGCACTTGGGCCATCTTCCACTGCTTTCCCAGGCACATTAGCAGGGAGCTGGATGGGAAGCGGAAGCAGCCACGGCTCAAACGGTGCTCATATGGGACGCCAGTGTCGCTGACAGCATCTTCCTCCACTGTGCCACAGCACCGGCCCCCACAGGGATCTCACAGAACGCTGTTCCTAGTGATGTCATCATCCAGGAAAACCAGGCTGGGAGAAACCAGGGCTCTAGACGCCACCAGGTAGACCACTGGTACCAGGTACCCACAGTCAGCAAGACGCCTCAGTCCTTGCATCTCGGCAGGGCCAGGACAAGTCTTCTCAGAAGATTCGAGAGCTCATGCTTCCCCTCCCCCAGCCCGCTCCTGGTGCCCTCTGCCTCTCTGTCAAAGCTCCCAGCAGGGACGGGAAAGGGACAGAGACCCTCCTAGGGAGGGAGGCTGGGCAGTGCTGATTCCGGAACAAAGGAAGTCAGGAAAAAGGGCCCAGGGAGAGAACAGAGCTGATGAGAGGAGCAGGGAGGAGGCCGCACCCCGTGGTGACCCCAGCTGGGACGTTAGGAGGCAAGAAAGGACCCTGCAGAAGGCACCCCCCAAGGTGAGCATTTTCATTTTGTAAATAACCTTCACCGCTTCTGTGTCCCACTGGCTCACCCGCCCACTCGGCGCGGCACCCTTGGTGGTGCTAATGTCTGTTTGATGCCTTGGGCATTTGTGTGCTTCCAGAGCTGTGTAGGGGGTGATGGGTCCTGGGAGGATGGGGGTGCTGCACAGGCTCAGGGACCAGAGGTAGGAGGTCCCAGTTTCTAGGGAGGAGCAGAGAGGTTTGCATGAAAGGATTGGGGGTGTTTGGGTGTGGGGGACAGGAGGATGACAGGAGCCCCTCCTCCTTCACCCCCAAAAACCCTCCCTATTGCCTGTGTGCCCGCGAGGCTGTCCAGGTCGGCTTGGTGTTTGGGAACCAAATGACACTCTTGAAACCAGCCTCAAGGTCTGCTAAACTCATTAGTATTTGGAATGCATTTTTCGTTCACACAAAATCTGTCTTTAAAGAGTGGATTCCTGGGTCCCTTGAAAATTCTCTCCCCCTGGAGCTGTGCTCCACCTCCCTCGCTTGGTCTCTTTTCTGGACGGTGCTGCAGCCTCGTTTCTCCGGGAAGAGGTGTTGGTATGTACGCACCAAAAAAGGCCCGTCTACCAACAGCTACCACGAGGGGGGCAGCGGCCACGGGCCAGGCCCCGCATCATGGACCTCGCAGGCAGAATCATACTTAATCCCTGCTTCTGAGCTGGGATGGGCTTTGCCTGGAGGTCCAGAGAAGGACCTCAGGGCTAGGGCAGGCGGTCAAGCCAGATTCAAACCCCAGAATCCAAACCTTGTGTCCCCAGCGACCGGCCAACATAGCCCTGCCTCCCTGGCTCTGGGCAGGGAAGGAGTCATCAGGGAGGGCAGCACCTAAGAGTGAGAGGGCTCTGCAGAGGCCAGGGTAGACAGGACACAGAAGGTGGGGGCCAGCACCCTGGAGCCGGGCCTCCCGAGGGCCCCTTCCCGGCATAGCACCCACAACCTCAGTGAGTTCTCCCAAGTGCCCGGTAACACAGTTACGACTCTCAGAAGAGGTTGGGGGGGTGACAGGGGGACTGGTGCTGTGGCAAAGTGGGTTAAGCCACCCCCTGCAGCACCGGCTGAGCCCAGGCTGCTCCACTTCCCATCCAGTGTCCTGCTAACACACCTGGGAAAGCCGCAGATGACCCAAGTGCTTGGGCCCCTGCACCCACCTGGGAGACCCAGAAGGAGTTCTTGGATCCTGACTTTGCCTGGCCCAGTCCTGGCTGTTGGACATTTGGGGAGTGAACCAGTGGTTGGGAAGATCTCTCTCTTTCTCTCTCTCTCTCCTCTCTTCTCTCTCCTTCTCTTTCTGTATTTCTGCCTTTCAAATAAATAAATCTTTTAAAAAAGAGGCTAGGAGAGAGCCGCGAGAGGCACAGGTCAGTGACTTGGGGAACACAAGTGACCAGGCCTGGCCTGCACCCTCAGAGCTCTTGCCTCAAGACCAGATGTTGGGAAGAAGCAGCAGCAGCGCTGAGAAGCAAACCTCGGTGGTGGGGGGCGGCGGGGGGCTTCTGAGTAGGGGCAGGGGCAGGAGGCTGCGGTCCCTGGTCCCCTGCGCAAGACGGATGGGCGGGGGGAGGCGGCAGAGCGCTGGGCAGCCGGTGATGGATGAGGACAGCAGCGCAGCCTCCAGAGGCTGCAGAGGGGAGGGGGAGGCCATGAATATTTCAGAGAGGGGGTGAGGCTGGAAGGGAGGCAGGGCTGGGGGGAAGGGAGAGCTCAGCCAGGGGGAGGGGGCTCAGGGACAGGCAGACCTCAGGGAGGGGGAGGGCTCCTTGCCAGGGTTGGGCGCTTCCCTGTTAACCTGGTTAAGGTGCCCCAGGGCCCAGGGCCCAGTGGAGGACTCAGTGGGGGAAGGGCCCTCTCTCTGAGGCACAGTGAACCCCCCCCCAGGCCAAGGCCAAGGCCAAGGGCACAGGCAGGGTCCGCAGGGCAGGGAGGCTGAACATCTCTGTCTGCCAGCAGCGCGGTGGAGACCCAACGGCCGACTGAGGGCATCGAGCCAGGCCTCGAGTACGCGCCCTTTGATGAGGACGACTGCCCGGTGGACTGCGGCTGCCCGGCCGCCTGCTACCGTGGGCACCGGGACTACAGGTCAGCGGGCGCCGGGTGCGGGCAGGCAGGGTGCGGGCTTGGACCCCCCTCACCCCCGCCCCTTCTTGCCCAGGTCCAGCAGCTCGGCGTCACCCCCTCCCAAGAAAAAGAAGAAGAAGAGAGGCGGCCACCGGAGAAGCCGGTGAGAGCCCCGTGCACCGAGGGGGCCCCCACGGGGAACACTGGCGAGATCCCCTCCCCCTGCATGGAGCCCCCAAGAAGCAAGGACCAGGACCAGGCCTCAGGGTCCTCCTCAATCTGAGTGGCCTGGGGGGGAGGGGGCTTGGCTGGGCCTCATTTGTGGTTCCCCCTGCTCACCCTCGTCCTGGACTAACCCCGGCCATCTGTCTGTCTGTCCATCCTCCTTTCTCCCTGGCATCGGCCCTCAGCAAAAAGAGGAGACCAGAATCTGAATGCAGGTCAGTGCCCACTTGGGCGCAGCCAGGCCGGAGGTGGGAGGGCCTGGGGGTGGGAGAGAGCCCCAGGCTCCCCTCCAGAGGCAGAAGGCGCGGTGCCTCGGGGCAGGGACCATTTCCAGCTGCGCCCATCCCCTCGCCAGCTCACTAGGGCCCCCCTGTGTCCACAGCTGTGGGAGCTCCTCACCCCTGCGCAAGAAGAAGAAGAGTGTGAAGAAGCACCGCCGAGACAGGTACCCTGGCTGCCCATCCTCCCCACGCGGGGAACAGGAGCAGGGCTGTGCCCTCGGGCCACCCCAGGCAGGCTCAAGAGAACTCCTGTATCGCCCTGCAGGTCTAACTCTGGGTCCAGGAGGAAGAGGCGGCACAGGTGAGGGGTGTTCCGTGCAGGATGTGGACCGAGGCCCCCAGGGGACAGAGTGATGGGCAGGCACTGGGAGGCCCAGTCCCCCGACGCCAGGGGCTGTTCCAGAGGGGGGAGGACCCATGGCAGGGGAGGAGCACCAAGACTCACTCTTGGCAACCCTTGCCTGGCCCAGCCTCCGTTGGGGGAACCCCTAGAACTTCAGACAACTCGGCAGGTTCAGGTTCAAGGGCGTCTGTGGAGGAGTCGGCTGAGGAGGAGGAAGCATCAGACCCTGAATTTGCAGGGCCAAGGCAGGAGGACCTTGTGAGCTGGGAGGCTCCGTGGGTAGCACACAGGGTGGGCTCGGGCTAGCGGTGGAGTTTTGGTGGGTGGGAACAGGTGCCAGCCCCCACAGCCCTGACTGCCAGGCCTTGGAGCTGGCCTCCACCCAGGCAGGGCTGGGAGCCAGCATGGAACTCCAAGCAGGACAGTGACTTGCTCTGGGAGACTGGGGGAGGGAAGAGTCAGGAGCCCAGGTCAAGAAAACAGAGGCTGAGGGGTAAAAAGTTAAACAGAGGAGGTTGTGGGTCGTGACCCTAACCTTGGCATCAGGGCCAGAGTCCTCCCAGCAGCCCTGAGGAGGGGCAGAGTCAGCAGTATTTTACCTATCATGGGAACCAGCCCTGCCAATACTCCCCTGTCCCAACCCTACCACCACCACCACAACCTTCTCAGGCCTATGGGCTCCTGCTGCCCCCTAGTGGCCACCATCAGCATGCACAGACCATCCACCCAGCTCCCATCAGTACCCAAAAGGACCTAGAAGTGAGCTGAGGCTAAGTCAGCTGCAGAATAAAAAGCAGGCAGTGTGGTTGCTGTCCCTCCCGGGGGGCACACTCAGAGTTCCCGAGCATTGCTTCGCTTGAGGGTCAGATGCGCGGGAGGAACATGGCGCTGTGGGGGAGGACAGGGTTGCGACACAGACAGGGCTAGGAGCTGGGGGGAGGCCTCGGAGGCCTAATTCAAAGCTCTCGATCCTCTCATCAAAGGCGGGAGGCAGGCTGAGGAGCCCGCCCCCAGACAGCTGGTGGGTGGGACGTTTTGGGGGAGATATGGATCCAGAGTCCCTCAAAAGCAGAGAAATCAAGTGCAAGTGGAAGTATTTCCTCCCTAAACTTCCAGCCTGGTGAGCTGGCCAGGGGCTGGACCCCAGGCTAAGGGCAGGCGGCAGGGGAGGCACAAATGGGGCGTGGAGGGGCCATCTCAGCACTGCTGACCCTGTGCCAAGACCCTTTCTGCCTGGCCCACACCTGAGGCTGGACCTCCGGTGCCTGGCCCACACCCACGGCATCCTTGAGGGAGCAGCATCTGGGGCGCAGGCAGGAGATGCTCGTGGGCCAGGACTCACAGAAGGAAGGAATCATACGAAAGGCACCAAAGCAGTGGGGGGTGGGATTGGGGCAAGTCCCTGCCCGCCCCAGAAAGGAACAAAGGCCAGGCCCACAGCTGGGTGCAGGCCGCGGCATCCCCTGCCCTGCTGAGACTACCCCACATCACTGCCATCTTTGCTTCTTGCAGATCTCGAAGCCCCAAGAGCAAAAGAAAGGAAAAGAACAAAGAGAGGAAGAGGTGAGTGCCCTCCCCACTCTCCAGCCCTGCTCGCCTGCTCCTGCCCCCTCACAGCAAGCCTGGCCTTTATGGTCTTAGCCTCAGGCCACAGAGGCTCACTGCATCCCCCCTTGTCCAGATGGAACATTTAAGGCCGAGAGGAAGCCGGGAGCCCTCAATGAGCCAGTGGCAGAGCTGGAACCGGAACCCAGGCCTCTTGCCTCCCGATCCAGGGTTCTTTCAAGCTCCGTCCTTGTCACTCACCTGCCCCCCCCCAGTCCCCCCAAACCAGTATCCAGGGCGCCCGGTGAAGGGTGATGAGGGCTGACTGGGGCTGCCTAGAGGAATCCTCCCTCAGTGACCCATAGGGACCAGCTGGGCTCTGCCCCCAGCACCAAACCTTTTAGGTCATTTCTGACCCAGGAAGGGATGGGTCAGGAGTGGCTTCCTTGCATCAGGCCCCATGTCCCAGGATCCCTGCAGGCAAGGCTGGCCCCAGGGACCAGGGCGGGCAGACTGGATGCAGGCGGCTTCCCCCTCCCACCCCAGGCCTCACACGGAGTCCCCAGGCCGGAGGTGCCATCGCCATAGCAGTGGCAGTTCCCACAGCCCCTCTCTGTCCTCCCAGTACAGCGGCTCCAGGTCACCCAGCAGGTAGGCCCGGCTTCAGCACGTGACTCACATGAGCTGGGGGCAGGGTCGGGGACACCTGCAGATGAACCAGCGCAGGAGGGGTGGGCTGGTGTCCACCTGCAGAGAGAGCAGCCCTGAGGCGCCCCAGACCTTGACCTGGAGATCAGTCTGGGGCCGGACAGCTGGGCTTGCTCTCTCTGTAAGTGGGCGATGGTCCAGGTTCGGTGACACGACGGGTAAGGGGCTGTCCCCGGTGCTGCGGGGTGGCCGCTTGCGGAGGGGGCGTCCCAGGTTCCCACCCCCAGGCTGAGCTCCACCACCCCCAGGCTGAGCCCCAAACACCGAGACAGCGGGCGGAAGACTGGCAGCCAGCGCTCCAGCGGGAGCCGGTCGGCTTCCCCGTCGGGCGGCAGCGGATGGGGGTCGCCCCAGCAGAACGGCGGCGGCGGCAGGCAGCGGAGCGCAGCGCACAGCGGCCGCCTGGGCCCGGCGCGCAGCCCGCCGGAGGTACGTACGCTTCGCGTTGCCCTGGGTTCCCGCGCCGCAGGTGCGCCGTGCAGGGGCGGGGGCGGCGAATGAGTCTTGGGGAGGTTGTGCCGCGCGCCTCCCTCGAGGCCGACCGCTTCCCCCTCCCCTGCGCCCGCCTGGCCGGGGCGCAGAAATGCTGGGTGGCAGCGTGCACCCGGCGTCGGTGGCAGGACGAGGGTGGCCCTGCAGGCTTGGGCCGCCCTTGAGCTTGGCGAGCTGAAGACCAGGGAGGGGCTGGCCGTGGGGTGCTCGGCTGGGTACAGAGCTGGGGAGGAACCAAGGTCCCCTGCCTCCCCCAGGCATATGGGGGTGGGAAGCGGCATGGACATTGGTAGGGGTCACAGTCAGGAATAGGATTCAAGAGACAGGATCTCCCTCTGGGCAGCTCTTGGGCCCAGAGCCTCCCTCTCCCCACCAGGCCCCTGCCCCCTCCCTGAGCGCCCTCCCCTCCCTCAACTCCCCCTCTAGCCCCTCCCTCTATCTCAGATCCCTCCTGCATCCGGGTGCCGCTGCCGCCTCAGAGCGGCAAGCCCCACTCGCAGAGAATCTGCCCCACACTGGGCAGGAGCTCCCAGAGGCTCGCTCCAGTGCCCTAGCCGTCCCAAGAGACACCCACTCCCTCGGAGACCCCAACACCGCCCCCGAAACAATCCCCCACCCACGCTCCGGGAGGGGCACAGACTTCCGGTCACCCACGGGTTGGGGGCTGGCGCTGTAGGAGACAGGCTTCTCCGGATGCGTGGGCCGGGCCAGGGTTGGGGCTCTCCGGGGGGAAGAGCTGTCTGTCCAGAGCGCAGGGTTGGGGGCCCTCAGAGAGAGGGGGCTGTACAGTGCTGGCAGGGGCACTGGAGGGGGGAGTGGGAGGCATGGGGCGGGGAGGCCCGTGGCTTCCTCCCCAGGCCCGCACAGCACCCCAGAAGCCTCAGCCAGGAGTGGGAGAGCCGCTGCTCCCCGACCTCAGGTCTCGGCAGCAAACATGTACGTGTCGGTCAGTTTCATTTTGATTTTTGGCTGTGTTCTTTCACTCCCTTTCTTTTCTCAAACACCCCCCTTACTCCCAGTGGCCTCAGAGAGGACAGTCAAGGGCAGCTGGCCAAACGCTGTGGGAGTCAAGGTCAATGGCTATTGAAGGACATCACCTATCTCTAAGTCGCTCCCCCTGGACGGGGGGCCAGGCCGTGGGGCTGGGGGAGGACACAGTTGGACCACATGGGCAGGAGGGCATGGATTCTGTCTTGGGAGCCAGAGGGCATGCAGAGGCAGTTGAGGGTAGCCACGGCAGGGACCGGTGCCATAGGCCCTGCAGGTGACAGGCAAACCTCCCGGTGAGCACAAGGCCCCAACCCCCTCGAAAGCGTCACAGCCTCCTGGGCCTCCCAACAGGTGCAGGGAGTCATAAGCTTCCCACTTCTGGTCCCCTCCCTGGCCCTGGAGGCCGGAGCAACCCCCCCCCCCCCCACTGCAGCCCACCCCTTCTCTCCTGGGCTAATGCTGACCCCACGGCAGACGGCCCCAGAGAGAGCAGGAAGCATGCCAGGCCTCCGGCAACACCCACACCCCGCGTCCCTCCCCCAGGGACACTCCCCCTGCACGGGGCCCCAGGGGGCCCTGGCGACCCCTTCCACAAAGCAGTGTCGCCAGACCACCCCGGGACCGCACAACGCTCAGATCCCTTCTTTGCCCAAAAAGCCTCTTTTCTCGGGTGCAGAGAGGTGAGGCCAGGGCCCCCGTGTCTCAGACTGGACCTTGAACAACAACGACAAAAATGTCTCTGGGGAAGAGTACTGGGGGTGGTATGCTCGGATGCTACCTTTCTTTTTTTAAAAAAAAGAAAAAAAGAGAGAGAGAAACAAACGGAAAAAGCAAAGGTCAACATTTTTTAACCCCGTCTATGTTTTTGTTTGTTTTTTAGCCTCCTTCTTGAAACGTGGTAATATTGTGATTCCATTTCTTGTTTAGCTGGCAAGGGGAGAGGGTGGGAGAATTCATGTGTGTTTTCCAGTTATTTTGTTTCTGTTCGTATTTCTTTTTTTTTTTTTCTTTTGTAATGTACAGAAATGCAAACTATCTCTCTGGATTGGTTTGTTTTTGTTTTCCTATCTTCTATGTTGTTCTAGAATTTTGCTTTTGTGTGTGTTACTGTGGGAACCTGTGCCTCTTACCGCAGAGAAGAATTTTGGAACTAGCCGTGGACATGAACCCCATGCATAGCTCTATATACTTATTGGTTTTCCTTTGTAATCAGAATTTAAAAGGGAAGGTAACTTTCAAAAAAAAAAAAAAAAACAAACCAGAGCCACCGTCCCTGGGATGGTCTGTCCTCTGACATCACAGGAGAGCTGCGGCTGTGCTGCCCCGTGCAAGGAACCTTCTAAGAAAAGCTGGGAGGCCCGGGGAGAGGGGCCCTCGCTTCAGCTCAGTGCAACGGGCCAGGCCCGACAGGGACCGAGAGCAGAGATCCTGGACAGGCTGCTGCACACCTGCAGGGCTAGGCCTCAGGTCCTTCGGAAACCCCAGGGGAGGCATGAAGACTCCTGGGAGAGTTTAGAACAAGGAGAGGCTCCAGGGCCAGGGCCCGACTACAGGCAAGAGAGACACTGCATCCTGGCCCCAGCCTGCGGCCACACAGGGTGACAGCACCCAAGGTTGCTTGCCCAAGGGGAAAGTGCAGCCCAGAGAGGGCAAGAGACTGGCTCCAGGCCACACAGCTCCCCAGGTAGATTCCCAAAGCAGCTCCACTGTGGGGAGAAGTGCAGATGGAAACCACACAGCAGGAGCCCTGGGCAGTCTCAGCTCCCATGTCCCCCCACCCCAGGACCCCACCAGAAGTCTGTGGCTGTTGTCCAGCTCTCTCAACCACCTACACCGAGAGACTGGGGTACAGGTGGCCCCCCAGTCACAGAAGCCCACTCGGTATGATTACTGCTTCAGCAACTCGGCCCCTGTAGTTCAGACACACAGGCAGAAATAAACAAGGCCCAGAGAGGGATGGAGGCGCCCAGGGGCACACAGTGTGGGGCGAAAGAGTAGATGCCCAGTGGGAGACCTCACGGGACATGTGCCTCCGTCCAGCCTCCCTCCAACCCCCAAGGGCACTGGCCAGTGCCAGCGTGGCCCTCCCAGAGTGCAGAGCACCAGGGCCACCTGCCGTGGCTACACCTGTCTCTCGCACTTCAAAGACCTCGGAGGTAGCAGGCACCATATGGTGAGGGTGGCAGAGTGACTGATGAGCAAGCCACTGGACGCACTCTGGCTTCTGCCTCTGCCCACCTTTCTTCTACTCATTTACTTATTGATTTTATCTGAGAAGCAGACAGACAGGGCTCCTATCTGCCGGCTCACCCTCCAGATACAACAACCAGGGCTGGACCAACGCAAAGCCAAGACCTGGGAACTCAATCCGAGTCCCCAGGGAGCTGGCTCCCTGTGTGGAACCCGGAGCAGACCTGAGACCCAGACCCACACACAGCGATCGATGCAGGACACGGGTGTCCCATGCAGCGTCTGAACTCCTAGGCCAAAACCTACCCCTTTGGCCCTAATTTCACCACGTAACGGGCGGCCTAGGGTGACCCCAAGGAGAGGGGCGGCACTCCCTGACTTGGCTCACCCGGGTGTCCCCAGCGTGCACCCCCAGGAAATGGCCGTGAGCACAGCTGCAGTGGAGTGGCCATCTCTCCCAGGGCCAGGCCAGAGGGCAGGAGGGTGACTTTTGCTGGAAGTACGCAGACGCCAGGTGGGGGAGGGAGCAATTCTCCAACTTGAATCTGCGGTTGGTTGCCTTCCCTTTTAAACACACAATCCCCTGTCCGTCCCATCTGTCCACTCCCACCAGCCTTGTTTAAACGCCTTCTCTCTGTCCTCGACGTCCGGGTCCACCTCTCCACCGTCCCGCCTCTCCGTGTCTGCCCTGGCATTGCAACTTCCTGTTTCCCCTTCTCCCTCTCTCCCTGTTCCTCTTGCTCTGTCTGTCTGTCTCTCTCTCTCTCTTGTCCATCTCTCTCCCCTGACCTGGGCCTCTCTCCTGTGCTGCCAGCCCCCCTCTTTAGCCATCTGTGGCACTGCTTCCATCCGCTGCTTCCCGCATGCCCTATGGAGGTCTTTTGTTAACTCAGGGAGTTCAGGAAAGCTTGGCTATTAAGGCCTGTGCTTAGGAAAAAAAAAAAAAAAAGCAATCCCTTTTTAAAAAGGCAAACAGAAATAGCAGGGCAAGAGCCCCCTCCCATCCCTGGGAAGAGACCAAGAGCCCCTCTGCACACTGGCTGCCCATCTGCTGGCCCAGGGCGGGGGCACAGATGAGAGCCGCTGTCTTTGGCCCTCCTGCCTTCCCCATGCGGAGACCTTCTTTCTTTTCTGTTTTTGCACTCCTGCCCCTGACCGCGAGAAGGTAGGTACCCAGCTCAGCTGTGTGCGTGCTGCCCCCTCTCCAGACGAGCCCGCCACTCCGCTTGGTTTGAATGTGGTTTTCTTTCTCTCAGCCTCGCCCTGGTTGGTTTTTATCCTCCTTTTTCTTTCTCTCTTTTAGCGACTACTCATTTGTTAACTCGCACTCTCTCCAAATGAGCTCCAAAGCCGTGTCTCCTGGTTTGTCTCCTTTGGTTTCCTCGACTTCCCCGCCCCCGCCACCTGACGGCCGCTCTGGTCCATCTTCCCGCCCTTGCACCTGCTCCCCGCCCTCGGACCCCCTGCTCTCCCCCTCTTTCTCATTTTGTTGTCTGGATGCATTTCTGTGTGGTTCAGCATCCCAAGTTTGTGTCCCCTTCCTGGGTGGATACGCTGCGGTGGAGCCTTCGACTTGTGTTGTCTGGAGAGGCTGCCAAGTCCCTCGCCCTCATCCCGGCCAGCCCCTGGGGACCGGGGTCACGGCCTGGCCCTCGGGGCCCACTTGCGCAGGAAGCAGTGCTGGCGGAGGCCGCGCTGGGCCTCCTGGCCTCCAGATCCTGGGGGACGTTCTGGCTAAGGTCAAGCTCAAGCAAAGGGGCCAGCCCATCCCCCGAGGCCCACCGGGCCAGACAGAGGCCTGGGCTCCCCCAGCTGGGGGTGCAGCCGGCACCAGAGCTGAGCCTCCCAGCCGCACCTTCTGGGTGGGTCGATCCAGGTGCCTGAGTTGGCCAGCAGGGGGCACTGCAGTAAGAGGGTCTACTGCACAGTCTTTGGGGTGACATGCCCCCCTCCCAGACAGGGGCTCCCCTAAAACTTTGAGCATCCTTCCATCTCTCAGGGCAGAATGATCCTGAAGGAACAGTCAGTAGGGACCAAACCAGCCCCAGATCCTGGGACTGGTGACCCCCAGCTCAGCGCTTATCCAGCTCCACTAAGGGTCCTGGCTGCAGAGGCGGGCTCCTGAGGGCCCACCTCCCCATCCCCGCCCTCTCAACTGCTTCCTGGGGGCAGCCACAGCAGGTGGGCATCCCAACTCTGTGAGGCCTCCGTGGGCCTCTGTGCCCCTGTGCAAAAGGAGAGGGTTGGCAGGTCACCCCTGCCCCAGCCCATGCTTGTCCCAGGTCGGGACCAGGAACCCAGGACTTCCTCCTCAATGCTGGGCGGTGCTGGGAGGGCCAGCGGAGACTGTACCAGCCTGGTAGGGCAGTGGGGGCTCCAATCCCACCCCCGCCAGGGCCACCTCGTGTAACCAAGGACTCCCAAGCGGGGCCTCAGATGCTGAGTGCAAGACAGGGAGTATCTGAGCCCTCCGGGTGCTTCCTTGTTCTTGCCCTTGAGAGCACCTGGATCAGGTGTGAGCACACCCTCCCCACTGCTCCCTCCCCTTGTCGCACATATTTTTTAAGGAGCAAAAGACAAGGCACCAGGTAGCCAATGGGAGCAGGGCTCCGAGGTAGGCGAGGCCCTTCATCCACTCACTCACTCACACATTCCTTCATTCATGCACACACAGGGCCAACAGTGGCTCCTTGGTGCCAGGCCCAGCCGTGTGGCTTCCACGCCAGGAGAGGCAGGCTGGGCTCGTGCCCCGCCTCCCGGGCTGCCGGAGGGACAGAGGCCACTCAGCCCCATGACAGCAGGGGAGCTCAAGTGTAGAGGAGGAGCACCTGCTGGCCCGGCGGCCCTGGCCCTGGCGGGAGTGCAGATGGAAGGAGGGGATCACCCTGGACGTCAGAGGAGGCCCCTGGAGGGGCGACCTCGAACCCAGGGCCGAGGGGCGGCAGGCATTAGCCAGACCCCGAGTGGGCAGTCTGGAGAGGGAGAGGGCAGATGGAAGCAAAAGAACAGGCTTCTTGGGGGTTACCAGCACCACGGCCCTGTCCAGTTCCCGGGAAGAGTGAGAGCCCCAGCCCCGCGGAGGCTCACCCCCGGGGGACCCTTCTCGGGGATTTCCCAGAAAAGCATGCGAGGTCGGTCCAAGGACTGTTGCCCCAGGGAGGGCCCTGTCTGTCCTCCTGCCCATCTTCCAGGGGCCTCCCCGGGGGCCTCAGGCCTCCCTGCACTGCCCTGTTTATCTTCAAGGGGACCGTAAGTCAGCTGGGTTCTGAAAACAACCTCTCCACCCCTCTAGAGGCCCACCCAGCAAAGGCTCCACTGATCCCCATTTTAGCAATGGGGCAACTAAGCCCCCCCACCCCGAGTTAGGACCCTTCCCCGAGGTCACACAGGACAGAGTCCAGGGTGTTTCGCCTTGCTGGTTACTACGGTCTTGGGCCATGGCAGGCCAGGTGGCTTGCAGGAGCTGAGAAGGAAGTGTGGTAGAGAGAGCTTGGACTTTGGGACGTGCCAGGAGACAAGCGGCCAGGCCGGCGCAGGGGATCTGGCCCGGGGCTTGGATCTTGGTGGTTGCGGCACCCCCGCTGGCCACAGGCAGCCATCCAACCAAGACGCCCATCTTCCTACTACTCCGCCCCACCCCTAGGCCAAGGCAGTGGGAAGTCAAGGGCCTTGGTCTTCCTCCCTTATTGCCAGCCCCTTGGCTTGAGTCCGAAGTCGCTGGCTCAGCTCAGAATGTGGGTTGAAACCAGGCTCCACGTCCAGGCCCTGACTGCTAAGCGTAGCACTCTGCCCACTTGCTTGGTGCCCTCTTCTTAAAAGAGGGGTTCAGCATCACCAAGTTTTGGGCTACTGTGTGTTGGCTCCCAAGCACCCCCCCAGCTCCCAAAACTTGAGGTGCCTGGAGCCTTCTTTCTCTTTTGCCTCCTATTCAGGGAAAAGGATGCTGAATGAGAGAACCTAGGGCTGGGGTGGAGGGTCTCCTGGGGATGAAACTGCCACCCCAGAGGGGCCGTGGCTGAGCTACCCTGCCTCCAGTTCTCCTAGCCTAGACGGAGGGATGACCTGCTGGCCAGGAGCGTCACGGGTGCTCAGCGAGGCACCTCACTGCCAGATAATACCCACTCTGTCCACCTGCGCCTGCCTCTGCCCCAAACGGAGACACAGCCCCCACTGGCTGTGCGCAGCCACTCTAGCCCCCCCTTTGGCTAGAGTTCATTGTCTAGCACAGCCTTCCATCACGAGCTCTCCACCAATGGGCCTGACTTCCTGGCTCTCCCTCCCTGCCCAGGTTGGATCTAGGTTTGCGAAGAACACCCAGGGCCATGCCATGGAAAACAGGCTCCTTCCAGTCCCTGGCACCCTGAAGGGTGGCAGCAACTCTTTTCTTCTTATCCACACAGCCTGCCCAAAGAGCTCAGTCCGGCCCCCATCCTGTTTCTGGGACTCCCGGGTCTGCCTGGGCCGTGGTGAGGGCACCATTTCCTTCCTCAGCAAAGCCTATGGAGGCCTTAATTGTGATTAAACACTGAGGTCACAAAGCTGAATCAGGCACCACATCTGCCCTGGGGTGCTCTAAGTCAAGCTGGTGACAGGGTGTGGGTGTGGGGCAGCTGAGCCTATGGACAGACAGGTGCAAATCCAAACAGGAGGGGACAGGTCTGTGCAGGGAAGGGGCCGGGAAGGGGGCCGAGGGGCACTCAGAGGGGTCATCAGGCAACAGAGGCCAACTCTGTCATTGTGTGGATGGGGAGACAGAGGCCCAGGCTGGGGAAGTGGCGCGGCCCAGGGCGCTCTGTGAGGTAGCGGCAGGCTCTCGGATTCCCGGTCCCCAGCCAGGACCCTTCTGACCACACCGCGTGCCCCTTCTGGTTTTCTGCGTCCCGATCCTTGTGTCCACTTTTGGAAGAACACTGGACATCTCTCTCCCACGGTCACCCACGAGGTGCCCGCCCAGGCCCGGGAGCCGGGCACCGCCAGTCCTCCGTGCAGAGGTGGCACGGCCTCCTCTTAGGCCTAGAATGGGGTTGGTTGCGTTTCTCTCTCTCTCTCTCTATCTCTCTTGCGTTTTTGTGAATCTAATGATGAACTTATGCTACCACACTTTTCCCTTTTCTTACACACCTTACCTACTAAAGGAGGAAGTGCCACTTTATTGGTAAGTGGACGTTAACCAAGAGGGACTTAAAAAATCAGAACTTAAAAAAAAAAAAAAGAAAAGAAAAAGAAAAAAGCAAAGAGAGAAACAGAAAGACAGTCGGGTGCTACTGACAGCTCCACAGCTCTCCGCAGGGCCGGAAAACAAAGAAAAATGTTAACAGAAAAACGTCAGGTTCCCCAGGAGTTCAGACATTGTTTTTGATTTTGGAATCTAATGACATTTGTGGATTTTTTTTGGTCGTTTTTTTCTTTCTTTTTTTAATTTGTTTTTCCTCCCTTTCTTCGGTTCAGTTTTGAGTTCAGTTGTCCCGCCCCGCCCCCCCCCCCCCGCCCCATCTGTGTGCCGTGTGATCCCTTCCATCCCCCTCGCCCACCCCCAAGCGCTGGGGGGCCCGGCCCGGTGGGCTGGCCCTGGCCCGGCCTCCCGGTGCCGCCCTCTCTCTTCTCTTTGCCGGGGGATCGTCCGTCCCCGTCCGGGAGGGGGCAATGCCAGCCCCTGCGCCCGTCCTGGAACCCCCCCCCCAACCCCACCTTCCTCTTGTGTTTTGCATGCCGAGAACCTTGCATGAGCTGCCCTGTGGAGGCCAGAGGTGGGCACTCAGGAGAGGTAGAGGCAGGGCAGGCGCGGGGACCGTGTGTGCGATGCTCCGGGACCGGCCGCCCCCGACCCGGGCCCGGTGAAAGCCCTCTCTCCCTCTCTCCCCCTTCCCGCCCGCCCGCCCTCCGCCTCCCGCTCTCTCTCTCTCCCCCCCCCCGTCTGTCCCCCCCACCCCGTCTGTCTCTCTGCACCTCCGCCTGCCTCCCCGCCCGCCCCGTCCCCGCCTCTCTCCCCCCGTCAGAAGCCCAGCTCGCCCTCGCCCAGGGCCCGCGACCAGGCGGCGGCCGCGCCCACGCCGCCCGCCCCCGCGCGGGGGAAGGACAGCCCGAGCCCGCGCTCCGCGCCGTCGTCGCAGGGCCGCGGGGGCCGCGCGGGGGCCGGGCCCGCCCGCAGGAGGAGGCGGCGGCGGCGGCGGCGGCGGCGCTCGCGCTCCTCGGCGTCCGCGCCCCGCCGCAGGGGCCGCCGGCGCGCCCGGCCCGCGCCGCCCCGGGGCTCGTCGCGCTCGCCCAGCAGGGTCCGCTCCAGCAGCGACTCCGGCGGCGGCGGCGGCGCCCCGGGCCCCGGCCCCGAGCCCGGCTCCGAGCGAGGCCACGGCGGACACGGGAAACGGTGAGTGGCGCGGCCCCGGGAGCCCCCCGCCCCGGCCCCAAGCAACCCCTCACGGGACACGGTCGCCCCACTGTCCCACCTGGCTTCCCCCCGCCGCGGAGCCCCCTCTGCGCGCCCCACTGAGCCCACCCCCACCAGCCGCCCTTCCAGCTCATGGAGCCCCCACTCAGGTCCCTCCACCGACCCCAAACCCCGCCGACGGGGCTCCCCACACTGGTTCTGATACGCCCACCGAACGCCCTCTGCCCACTGCGCTACCCCCACCTCGCTGACCACTCCGTTACCACACGGAGGACCCTGGCCTCAAGTTTCCCGCCACCCTCCGACGGCTTGGCCCCGCCCCCACCACCAGGCCCCGCCCCACCGCCCCGCCCCCTCAGTACCTCCTGCCACTGAGCCGCGAGCGTCTCCCCGTGGCCGCGCCCACCGCCAGGCCCCGCCCCCACCGCCCCGCCCCCTCAGTACCTCCTGCCACCGAGCCGCGAGCGTCTCCCCGTGGCCGCGCCCCACGCCAGGACCCGCCCCACCGCCCCGCCCCCGAGCAGCCTCCCCGCCTCCTCAGTACCTCCTGCCACTGAGCTGCGAGCGTCTCCCCGTGGCCGCGCCCCACCGCCAGGCCCCGCCCCACCGCCCCGCCCCCGAGCAGCCTCCCCGCCCCCTCAGTACCTCCCGCCACTGAGCTGCGAGCGTCTCCCCGTGGCCGCGCCCCACCGCCAGGCCCCGCCCCACCGCCCCGCCCCCTGAGCCGCGAGCCCGCCCCCTCAGTACCTCCTGCCACTGAGCCGCGAGCGTCTCCCCGTGGCCGCGCCCCCCCGCCCCGCCCCGCCCCACCGCCCCGCCCCGCCCCCTGAGCCGCGAGCCCGCCGCTGAGCCGCCTCCCCGTGGCCGCGCCTCCTCCTGCAGGGCGAAGGAGCGGCTCCCGCGCACCCGGCCCGGCAGCACCTCGCCGTCCCCCGGCGCACACGGCAGGCGCGGCGCCCCCGAGGGGAAGAGCTCTTCGCGCAGCCCGGGCCCGCACCCCCGCTCGTGGAGCTCTAGCCGCTCGCCGTCCAAGTCCCGCTCGCGCTCCGCGGAGAAGAGAACCCGCAGCGCAAGCCGCTCGCCGTCGCCCAAGAAGCCCGTGGGCCGGTGAGTGCGCAGCCGAGCGCGGGGACCCGCGAGGGGGCGGGCGGCCGCGTCGCTCACCGCAAGGCCGCGCCCCGCAGGGACAAGGACGGCGAGGGCCGGGCCAGGCACGCCGAGACCGAGGCCGCCCGCGCGCGGCGCCGCTCCCGCAGCTACTCCCCCATCCGCAAGCGGCGCCGGGACTCGCCTAGCTTCATGGAACCGCGGCGCATCACCAGGTGCGGGGCGGCGGCGGGGGCCGGGGCCGGGGCTGGTCCTGGGGACGGCGGACTGACCCAGGCGCGGCGCGGGGAGGGCGGGGGGCCCAGTGCGGGCCAGGCCGGGGGACGGACGCCCTCGTCGAGGTGGAGGAGGGGAGGGGTCCGCCCCGGGAGGGAGGACGCGCGGTGCGGGGCAGCAGCAGCAGCAGGCGCCGAGCCCAGCTCCGGAGGCTCCTCTCCCGCCCTCGCTCGCCACGCCACGGCCGTCTGCCGACAGTGATGTCTACTTCTCTCCTTCGTCTCAGGGTGCAGCCTGCTGAGTGGCCTGTGGCCAACCCGGGGGCCAGGCGGACCCCTCCCCACAGGCTGCGGGGGAGATGCCCATGTGAGCTGGTCTGGCTCCGGTCAGCCGTCCGTCTGTCTGCCTCTGCTCTTCTCACTAACCTCCCAGCTCCCCACCCCCAGGGACACTGGAGGAGGGGGCACAGCAGTGTGGTCTCTGGGGAGCCCACCCCGCCCACTCTGCCAGGCAGAGTGCGGGGGACGCCTTGGGAAATCCGTCCCTCTCTGTGATTAGTCCTTGGTGATGGAGGGCACTGCCCCCCCACCCACCCCAGAGCGGGAGCCAGACCCCCAGGCTTGGGGCACCTCCACGGAACAGGTGGCACACCCGTAGGCTGCAGGGTCCTCAGATGGCCAGACCCCTACTTTCCAGCCTCAGCCCCTCTCCCAGGCTGCCTCCTCCTCCCACTAACTACGCCTGTTTCTTCCTCAGAATTAACCCCAGATCGGGCCTCGCTGGCTCCTTAACCACTCTCTTCTCTTTTCTCTGGGTTGTAGCCTCCTGCCTTCCACTAACTGCGGGCCAGCGGGAGGTAGCTGAGTGAGGCGTGGGGCCAGCGCGGGGCTGGGCTGGGCTTGGGGCGTGGGCAGCAGTGGCCGGGGTCTCCCCCTTATTCCCTTGGAGTGATCGGAAAAGCCCAAGCTTTGCTTGCATGGGGAATGGGAACTGAGAAGCCGGGCTGGGCCGATACGGGCACTTCCAGGCCCAGGGCCAGGGCTGGGCTCAGTTGACATCCGCTAGCACTCCTGAGCTCAGACTGAATCAGGCAGACGCGGGACTCCTGTCCCTGCAGACAGGTGAGGGAAAACAGAATGACCGACATGGACCAGTGACAGCTGACCCTCACAGGCCCAGAGACCAGGGGAAACTGAGGCAGGAAGCCCCGGCCACTGCTCCGATGGGACCCGGGACCCCGGCCGGCCCGTAACCCACTTCTCCTCTCGGCAGTGCCCGCAAGCGCCCCATCCCCTACTACCGGCCCAGCCCCTCCTCCTCCTCCAGCTGCCTGAGCAGCGACTACTCCAGCCGGAGCCACAGCCGCAGCCACAGCCCGGGCCACAGCCACGGAAGCTACAGCAGCCGCAGCCGGACCCGCAGCCGCACGCGCAGCCCCTCCCGGACCCCCAGCCCCAGCTACCACAGCCGGAGCAGCTCTGAGAGTGGGGGCCTCTGAGCCTAGAGGGACCCAGCCTGATCCCCCGCCCCCGCCGGGGTGGGGAGGTGATGTCCCAGGACTCGAAGGGCGAGGGGGCTGTGTCCTCCCACCCCTACTGCTACAGAGATCCTGGGGCCAGCGCGGGCAGGGGGCACCCAGGAAGACCCTGAGGGTGGGTGCCCGCCCAGCGGACAAAAGGAGGAGGAGCCAGCCTGAGCTGCCCACCCCACCTCCCGGCCCACACACCGCATCCAGGGAACAAAGAGCCGTGTGAACACAGGCCTCGCCTGCCCCTTACCGCTTGACGCCAGCTTCCCAGGCTGCGGCCTGCCGTGTCACTCACAGCTCAGCATCCCCAGGCACACCTCGGAAGGTGCCAGACCTGGGGGCCCCTCCCACTCCACTGGCCCCTCCCCTCCTCTCTGCCACCGGGCCATGAGGAGCTGGACACCAAGCAGGAGCTATGCTAGACACAGGCAGAGCTGCCTGGCTTTGGCGCCCCTCCTCCAGGCCGGCTAAAGGAGGACCCCGGCTCAGGGCCGGCGGCTGGGCCTACAGCTTCCCCGAGCCCTGGTCCTGGCCTGGGCCCAGAAGTACCTGGACTGGGTAGCCCCAAAGTCCCAGCCTGAAGGTCAGCCTCACCCCTTGGCCTGGGCCAAGGCCACACCAGCCAGGCTTTCTGCATGACAAAAGGCCCGGGGAGGGGGGTACAGGCCACAGCTGCACCTGACCCTGAGGTCAAAAGGGGTCAGGAGGTGGAAGAGGAAGGGGTGGAAATGCAACGCAGGTGCCCAAAGGGATGAGCGAACAGGCCATGGGAGCTGATGGGGCGGGAACCAGGTCAGCGCGTCCCGGCCCCAGGACAGCTCAGGGCCACAGGCACAGGAGAACGTGCGCTTTGGGGCCTGGTCAGCCAGGGAGCCCCAGATCAGAGGAGGGAGGGCAGGATCTGGGCCCTGGCCCTGGCCCTGGCCCTGGCCTTGGCCTGGGGCTCTGGGGGGAAGTAGCAGCTCCGGTCCTCCTCTGTGGCTCCCAGCCCCCTCCTCCTGGGGCCCTCAGGGATCTCACAAAGTCTTCCTTGGCCCAACAGGGCAGATGCCCTGGGCTCAGTGGGGGGAGGGGTCTGGGGTCTGGCCGGGTTTCCCCTCTCTCCATTTCCCCTCCCTCTTTCTCCGCGGTGCGGATAAAAATTGGACTCCAATAAAACACTTGGTGCCCGGATGGCAGGTGGTGAGACCCAGCCTCTGTGATGGGGGGCACCTGGGAGGTTGAGGGGGTCCTGGCGCCCTTCCTCCCGAAGAATGAGGGGGACCGGAGGCCCCTGGACGCCAGGGAGAAGAGCCAGCCCCCAGGAGCAGGGCCCTGCGCTCCTTCCTCCTACTCAGCGCTCACACATGGAGGATGTCGGCCATCAAAGACCCACCGTCCTCCCGGGCTGGGGCCCCTGAAGGGTTTAGAACACGCTGATGGCGCCCAGCCCAACACAGCCAGCCTGGCCTCAGCATGCGTGCGGGCTGGGGCAGAGGGAGGAGGCAGCGAGGCCCTGCACTGCCCCAGGCAGTGCTCCAGAGTGGTTAGAGCACTGTTGGTGTGACCCTGGGGTCCTGGCTTCCCAGCTCTGCAGCACAGGGAGCACAGATCAACACTGGCATAGAGCCAGTCTCCAAAAGATGGCCGCCGGGGGGCACGCTGTCTGGAGGGGAGTGTTTAGAAGTGTGGGTTCCCCTTGTTTATTTAACGGCTATTCCCACTGCATTTCTTAAATATATGTATTGGAGACAGAGATCTCCCATCTGCTGATTCACTCCTCAAGTGTCCGCAGCAGCCAGGGCCGGGCCGGGCCAGGCACTCCAGCTAGGTCTCCCATGTGGTGGCAGGCACCCAGGGACTCGAGCCATCCTGTCTCCCAGGGTGTGCATTGGCAGGAAGCTGGAATGGAGAGCCGGAGCGGGACTCCGACCCAGGCAGCGCAGCAGTGTCCTAACTGCTGCCCGTTGCATTTCTTTCTCCAACAACAGAGCTACATTCAGTCCTCCTCCTCTTCCTCCCCCCCTCCACCTTTTTTTTCTCCTTTTTTTCTCTCTCCTAGAAGGGTGACTTTTAAGTGTGTTTTGACCCACATGTCCTTTGCGAATCTCATGAAGGCTGAAAACCCTTCGCCCACGGTTTGGCCTGTCACACTGGGTCTCAGGGTCACTCCGAAGCCCAGGAGGGCCCATGGTTCAAGAGCTCTGGTCCAGGGGCCGGCGCTGTGGTGCAGCAGGCAAAGCCACCACTTGCAACTCTGGCATCCCATATGGGTGCCAGTTCAAGTCCTATCTACTCCACTTCCAATCCAGCTCCTTGCCAATGCACGTGGGAAGGGAGTGGGAGATGGCCCAAGTGATTGGGCCCCACCACCCACGTGGGAGACCTGGATGGAGTTCTTGACTCCTGGCTTTGGCTCAGCCTGGGCTGTTATAGCCATTTGGGGAGTAAACCAGCGGATGGAAGATCTACTCATTCATTCATTCTCTCTCTCTCTCTCTCTCCTACTCTCTTTCTCTGCCTTCCAAATAAATAAATCTTAAAAAAAAAATGTTGTGGTCCACCTCTGCTAAGGGTGCAGCCTGCTATGACCACAGCCCCTGTCTCTCCATGAGCCATGACACAGGTCCCAGGTCCCCAGAGCCCAAGGCTGTATCAGCTCACGACCCCCATTCTAGCTTCTCTACCCTCGAACAAGACAGCACGGGGCACGGCCTCCGGCCAGCGGCTCTGCTTCTGAACCCAGGACACTGTTCTGGTGATTCCTTCAATCCCTTGTTCAAATTTAGCTAAATTGGGGCCAGCATTGTGGCGAAGTGGGTAAAGCCCCGCCTGCAGTGCCCGCTTCCCACGGGGGCACTGGTTCAAGTCCCGGCTGCTGCACTTCCCATCCAGCTCTCTGCTGTGGGCTGGGAAAGCAGCAGAAGATGGCCCAAGTCCTTGGGCCCCTGCACCCACGTGGGAAAGCCAGAAGAAGCTCCTGGCTCCTGGCTTCAGATCGGCACAGCTCCAGCTGTGGCCAACTGGGGAATGAACCAGCAGATGGAAGACCTCTCTCTCTCTCGGTCTCTGTCTCTGTCTCTCTCTCTCTCTCTGCCTCTCCTTTTCTCTCTGTGTAACTCTGACTTTCAAATAAATAAATAAATCTTTTTTTAAAAAGTAACTAAAGCTAAAATCGGTATGTTCTTTTAAAAAAATAGGTTAGCATAGGGGCCGGCGCTGTGGCACAGTGGGTTACGCTCTGGCCTGAAGCGCCAGCATCCCATATGGGCACCGGTTCAAGACCCGGCTGCTCCACTTCCTGTCCAGCTCTCTGCTATGGCCCGGGATAGCAGTAGAAGATGCCTCAAGTGCTTGGGCCCTGCACCCACGTGGGAGACTCGGAAGAAGCTCCTGGCTCCTGGCTTTGGATCGGCGTAGCTCCGGCCATTGTGGCCATCTGGAGAGTGAACCATCGGATGGAAGACCTCTCTCTCTCTCTCTCTCTGCCTCTCTTCTCTCTGTGTAACTCTTTCAAATAAATAAATAAATCTTTTAAAAAAAATAGGTTAGCATAAAATCAACCTGAGTCCCACAGAGCCTGGTGCTGGCCTAGGGGCGCTGCTGCCTCCCTGCTGGTTCCCCCACTCCCAGATCCCAGCCCACCTTCCTTCTTCTTCCACAGCCCACAGCCAGGCTGTGCCCGCAGGTGTGCCTGCTCCCGTCTCTCTCACCCCAGCTCCCTTCTCTCTCACCCCAGCTCCCGCTCCCATTTGCCTGCATCTTGCCCTATCCAAGCCCTCCACCAGTGCTACCATTCATTTGCCGACTGCACCTGCTACCTGCCAGGCGCTGCCTCTGGCTCTGAGAACATGGTGGTGGATGAAGGGCGGGCCCTGCCTGCTGTGATGTCTACCGGCTCCCAGGCCTTGGCAGGCCCTGCCGGAACGTGCCGTCCTCCACCCTCGGCTCCCACCACTGCCATCCGGCACAGTCCAGCTGGCCGCAGTCCCTGTTCTTCCAGCTGCACAGCTTTGGGGAGCCCACGGTGTGCAGCCCAGTTTAGCTCCCTCCTACTCCATGGAGCCTTCCTGCCCCCTCCCCCGCCCCAGCTGCCACACTGCTCCTGTCTCTGGATTCCTCCTCCAGAAACCTGCTTTTAGGCCCTCAGCCTCTCTCTCCCTCTCTCTTTTTTGAGAGGTAGAGTCACAGACAGTGAGAGGGAGACAGAAAAGTCTTCCATATGCTGGCTTGCTCCTCAAGTGGCTGCAATGGCTGAAGCTGGGCCAATCTGAAGCCAGGAGCCAGGAGCTTCCTCCAGGTCCCCCTGGAGGGTCCAGGGGCCCAAGCACTCGAGCCATCTCCCGCTGCTTTCCCAGACACATTAGCAGGGAGCTGGATTGGAAGAGGAGCAGCTGGGACTAGAACTGGTGTCCATAGGGGATGCTGGCACCACAGGCAAAGGATTAACCTACTGCACTATAGCGCTGGCCTCACCTCTCTCTCTTTTTTTTTTTTTAAGATTTATTTATTTATTTGAAAGACAGAGTTACAAAGAGAGGAGAGAGATCTTCCATCTGCTGGTTCACTCCCCAGTTGGCTGCAACGGCCAGAGCTGCGCCAATCCGAAGCCAGGAGCCAGGAGCTTCTTCCGGGTCTCCCACATGGGTGCAGGAGCACAAGGACATGGGCCATCTACCACTGCTTTCCCACACCATAGCAGAGAGCTGGATGGGAAGTGGAGCAGCCGGGACTAGAACTGTTGCACACATAGGATGCCGGCGCTTCGGGCCATGGTGTTAACCCCGCTGCACCACAGCGCTGGCCCCAGCCGTGTTTATTTGTTGACACGTCTGTCTCTCCCCCAAAGCTCTGAGCTTCTCGACACCAGGCCATGTCTTTTTTTTTTCTGCCTCCCCCAAACAGGCACCTTTGGCACGTTTGTTGACTGAATGAATGGGAGAGGGAGCAGGGGGAGGCCTGAGACCATGGTGGCCGGAGGCAGACACTAGAGGGCGACAGAGAGTGAGGAAACAGACGCAGCTCCCGAGAGACCCACCACCCGCCACTTGAGAGGAGAGGGGTCGGTTCCCTGGGGAAAGAAGAGCACCGGCCCGCCCACCGACCAAGGGCTCAGCTCGAACTCTGCTCCGCAACGTGGGGGAAGGGAGAACACCAGGCAGGAAAACAGGAAACCCAGTCTGGCCAGCGCACAGAGGGGAGCGGTGGGGTCTTTTTCCTCCAAGGTCTCTGTGTCTGGGCCCGGCTCTTCTGGTCTTGGGACGCTGCAAGTCCCCTCCTGGATGCTTCTTCAGATGGTCCCCACCGGCCCCGGGACCACCTCCCCCACCGGCCCGGCCCCCCACACATACAGCAGCTGGGGGCTGGACAGGGGCTCTTGTCTGCCTGGCTGCGTGTTCCCTTTGTCTGAAGTCTGTTCCCTGCAACCTCAGGCTACTGTGTGGCTGTCCCAGCCCCCACCCCCACCCCCACCCCGGGTGGCCACGCCCTGCCTCTAGATGCTTCTGGAAGTTCTAGATGCTTCTGGAAGCTCCCTACCAACACTCTCACCTGAGAACTCAGCAAACTGGCCCTGGTGCCAATTCCCCCAGCACCCCCTCCACCTGGGAGCCTTCTCAGGAGACCCCAAGACATGGGGTGTGCCAGCCTCCAGGGCTCCCCCCTCCAGCTCCTCCTGCAGGCTTGGTTGGACTCGGCCCCTCCCGCTCCTCGGCTTCACCGTCTTGGAATTCCAGTAAAGCCCCTGAGTCCCGCCCAGGCTTAGCAGGCCGGCAGGGAGGAGAAGTCGCATCCAGGGCCCAGTGAGTGTCTCCTCCCCGTCCCCTCCTGACCCCTCCCCGACTGTTCTAGAAGACGTGACTGACACCGTTTAAGCATGATAAGGACAATTCTTTTATCCGGGACCACCGTAAGAGGAACGGCAGTGGGATCTCGCAACCCAGGACGTTTGGGTTTAGGTCTGAATACACGAGGGCCCGCCCAGGGGCAGGGCTGGGGCCAGTGGGTGGAGGATGATTGACATCAAAGGTAAGGACGAGGTGGGCGGAGATTCTAGCTAAACCCACCTATCAGGACCTGGGCATGGTGGAGGATGAGGAGTCGCTCAGATCCGGAAGGTAGGGGCTCCCGCTAACCTGACTTACCCGGATTTTCCGAGAACGTGCATGGGTCAGGAACCCAAGTTTGGTTAAGGG